GCTGCCCTCGGCGGGGTCGGCCTCAGCGCGCCGCAGTGCTATCGGAGGCGGGCGGCGCGCGTTCCACGAGAAGGTGATCACCCGCGACCGCAACGGCTACGAGACCTACCCACCTTGGTGGAAACCCACTGGCAAGCATGCGTGGACCATGCACGCATGGAGGAATATGGGCGCGAGCAGGCGCGGCCCAGAAACTGGTGGGTACAATTTCAGACACGGGATACAATTTTCCGACGACATCATGATCAGTGCCATGGCCGCCCTCGCGAGAGCGTCCAGGTACGACAACAATTGCGGCACAAAGGACGACACAAAGTACATTGTCGTGGAGATACCGGTGGACCACGGCTACGCCGCTTACGCCGACTACGATTGCGACCGGTACGACCAATGCCAGTACGACCACCCGTACGACCAGTACCACCAGTACGACAAGTACGACCACCAGTTCGGGGTTTGACGACCGTTTGCGGCATGTGAACCAGTGGCTCAAGTCTGGCTCGAGGCGCACGGGCTGGCGCGGCCCTGCCATGGCAAGCGCCTGGAGGAGCGCGGGGGGCGCCCGTGCACGCGGCCGGCAGCTGCTTCGAGCTCCGCGGCCTGGCATCCGAGAGCGGCCGACAGTTGAACGCGCGCGGGGGCGTGGGGATGCTGTATTTGGAGGCTAAGGGCCTCTTCGAAGTGAAGCTGGAGCGGCAACCCGACCGGCAGGTCAGGCTGAAGCCCAGGAACTTCCATGTCCCCAGCGACCTCGCCCCAGCGCTGGGGGCTTGCGGCGCCAGAGCCTGCGGAGCCAGTGCCAGCAGAGGACTCGCTGGCGTCGCTGCTCGGCAGGGGCCACAGTCGACCATACTCGAGAAGGACTTCAATCGGGAGCCCGCTGTCCCCGACGCGGCCGACCGCATCGTCGCAATCGGTGGGGGCGAGCTGGAGGTCGACGGATGGTCCCTGCTGACAGCGGGCTTCAAGTTCAATGAGCGCAGCGACGAGGTGGACACCGCAGGCGAGGCCGAGGACCCCTCTTCAGCTTCGTTGCGCCCAGACTTCGCCTGCACTGCAGGCGATGCGCCAGCGCCAGAGGTGCAAGCACCTGATGCATCAGAAGGGTTCGCCATTCTCGGAAGCTTCGCCCAAGGGGATGCCGTCCACTCGCCGCCCACTGCTGGGGCCGCGGCCGTCCAGGTCCCCGTCGCTTTGGAATCCGGGGGACGACATCTATCCGAGGGGAAAGGTCCGCCAGCGTCGGGCGACGATCCTGATTCTACTCAGGCTTTGAGTCTCCATGCGCTCGAGCCTCTTCGAAAGACCTGGTGGGCTGGTGGGTGGCAAGAGGCGCAACAGGAGAAAAAGTATGAAGAAGAAAGAGGTAACAACATGTGGGGGGCGATGGTCGCAGCTCTTTGATCCTGTGTGACGGCGCGACTCCTGAGGCCGAGGGCTCACCAGTCGTGCACGTCACATTCATGGACCGTTTTTTCCAAAGGAAAAGCGTTCATTGCTGCCATGTGCAGCGGAACTCAGCCATCTAACGCTTCGACCGCTGCTGGTGAGGTACTGAATGCAGCCATAACGAGGTTCGATGGTTTGTGGTAGAGTTCGAAGTCCATGCGTCAGGACAGGCGTGCAAGTTAGGGTGTCGATCCAAGTGCAAGATGTCCACGGGCCATGCTATTCTCGGCAAGCGCTGCATCCTCTGGTTGGCTCTTTCTGAAGACAGCAGCTTGTTGGCCTCTCTCACGGGGTCCCGTTGCATGCTGCCACCTGTCGGGTTGAGCCGTTGCAGGGATACTAATTGCCTCATATTGCCTCCCTCCTCCCTTCCGCCTCCCCCTTCGCCCGCGCCTTCGCTCCACCTTCCCTCTCCTCCTCCACCTCCTATTTTGCGGGTGGGTCCGAGGCTGCGCTTGGGATTCTTTGTCCGCCCTCTAGCGGGATCGGGACTGCCCTCCCCTTTTTTCCTCCTCCTCCTCCTCCTCCTCCTCCTCCTCCCCCGCCTTCGTTCCTTCCCGTGCTTCCCGTATATATATATATATATAGAGAGAGAGATAGAGAGAAAGAGAGAGAGAGAGAGAGAGAGAGAGAAAGAGAGAGAGAGAGAGAGAGACAGAGAGGGATACACAACAAGCAAGTATACACACCTGTTTCTATATGATCGCAATTACTTTGCTGAGCTCGTACAAGTCAAGTTGCCCCTTTGAATAGGTATGCTCTTGGACGATTGTGCTCTTATGGTGTTCTCTGTAGCAAGAATTTCGCCGCCGGGGGGCTTTGTGGCCCTTGTCCTTTTTCTCGTCTTGACCGTCGCATGTTGCCTCCGCGTCACTTCGTTTTGAAGTTGTTGTTTTTTTGTGTTCTTCTGTCTTGTTTCCGTTCCTCATCCTTCCTCTTCACATCTGCCTGACTTCGCGTATTTGGCGCAGCTTCGGCGGCACGAGGTCGATATTTCTTCCGGCCATGCAGGTCTGAGCCAGAATGCGGGGTTGAATGGTGACTGGTTAGAACCGCAGTCTTGGTTTCCACATGTGAATGTCTTGACCGCAGTGCGGGTCTCAAGCGTGACCAAGTCTGCTGTGCCCGCAGGGTTGCTGTATATAGAGATGTTGTATCGTGGTGGTGTCCGCTCCCTCTTCCCTCTAGAAAAACGCGAGAGGTACCAGCAAGGCAACGAGAGCCGCCAGCTGAGCTACGAGGGCCACCGGCCAGACTGCGAGGGCCGCCGCCCGAGCTGCGAGGGCCACGGGCAGATTTTTTCACCAGGAGCCACCAGCAAGGCCGCAGGCATAACTGGGAGACCCACCAGCTGAGCCACGAAGACCACCTGCGGATGCATGAGGACGATTGCGTCTAGAGGTGCGAAGGCCTGCGCCCCCCCTGCCCCCGCGGGCGCCTCGACCCGAAATCGACTTCCTCATGGGCCTATATAAGAAGATCAAGATGGTTCTTCCCCCGCGCGGCGGCACCTCGCACCCAGCCCTACGGGCTACGTCGCCACGGCTCCCTCCTATCGTCGCCGCGGCTGGATTCGATCGAACTACGAGGGCCACAAGTAGAGCCACTCGAGGCACCAGCAGAGCTGCAACAATCACAGGCTGAACCTCGAGGGCCACCACCAGACAAGCGGAGCGCGGAACGATGCAACTTGGCAGCCGACGTTTCTGATTTGGACCACGGGGGGGGGCGAAGGAACCAACATACCAAGAGCCATGCAGACGAGGAGGAAACCACGGAAGCAAACGAGGATGAAGACTACGAGGGGCACGGCCTGAAGGAAGAGGACGACGCGAAGCTACGAGGGCCACCTGTTGAGCTACGAGAGCCCCGAGCATAGCTACGAGGACCACTGGCTGAACCACGGGGCCCACCAGTTGAGCCACGAAGGCCACGAGCAGAGCCTCGACAGACACCAGCAGAGCCACGAGGTTCACCTGAGAAGCTCCGAGGACCACAACCTGTGCTTCGAGGGCAACAAGCAGATCTACGGGAGCTTCTTGCGGAGCTACAAAGGCCACCAGTGGACCTTCGAGGACTACGAGCTCAGCTACGAGGGTCACAGGCGCACCTACGAGAGACACCAGAAGAGCCCCTGAGCCCACCAGCTGAGCGACGAGAGCCACCAGCAAAGCTACGAAAACCCAAAGCCAGAAGCTGTTCGGCGCTGGCCGAGAGCTGAGTTACGAGAGCCACAAGTAGGGCTACGAGGACCACTGGCTGAGCCACGATGGCCGCAACATCAGCTAGAAGGGCCACAAGCAGGGCAACGAGGACCACCACTGGTACCACGAGGGCCACCAGTTGAGCTACGAGAGCTGCGAGCAGAGCAGCGGGGACCACCGGCTGAGCTACCAGGGGCACCAGCTGAGTTGCGAGAGCTACCTGAGGAGCTACCAGGGGCACTTCTTCAGCTACGAGAGCCACCGGCGGAGCTACCAGGGTCCCAGGCAGACCTACGAAGATCCCCACTTCAGCTACGAGGGCTACCAGCTGAACTGCGAGGGCTGCACGGCTGGCTACGAGGGCCACGCGCAGGGCTACGAGGACCACTGGCGGAGTTGCGAGAGCGACCAGCTGATGCCGCGGTACGAGGGCCTCTACCAGAGCTACGAGATCCACCAGACGTACTAGCAGGGCCATCAGACATGCTTCCAGGGCGCGTCAAGTGGGTCAACCGCCACTACTGCTACGGCCTCGTAGAGAAAGCGTGGGTACAGCGTGAGTTTGGTCGCGATGCCTAAACCGACAAGGGCGAGATTAATGACATTCGCGTCGGGGACGCGGTGCCCTGGACCTGGACGCTCAGCAATGGCAAAGTACATGCGCTCGACGTACGAAGGCGAGACTGGCCTGCCTGAAGTCGAGAATATTACGAATTGGAGCGTTACGGACACGGGTATACGAGTACATCGTGGCACAAGATACTACGCTTGCTTCACTTTTGGCGCTGTAGGCGTTATCATTTTATTCAGTGGCCCAGCCGCTCACCCATGCCCTTTCCCCCTTTCTTTCTGCTCAGCGTCTGGTAACTCATGTTGTCCTCCCCTCCCCTCCTCCTTCTGGAGGGGCCGGACTCCTGCGCGGGCTCGGCGTGCCCCCCCCCGTCGGCCCGCGCGCGGTGCGGGCGTGCGAGGGCAGGGGGATGGGGGTGGGAACCGCGGACAGGGGCTGTGGAAAGAGGAGGAGGAGGAGGAGGAGGAGGAGGAGGAGGAGGAGGAGGAGGAGGAGGAGGAGGAGGAGGAGGAGGAGGGGGAGGCAGGATGAGGGGGGAGAGGAGGAAGGAGGAGGAGGAGGAGGAGGAGGAGGAGGAGGAGGAGGAGGAGGAGGAGGAGGAGGAGGAGGAGGAGGAGGAGGAGGAGGAGGAGGAGGAGGAGGCAGGAGGTGGCCTCGATCTTCCCCCATCAGAGCCGATGCTGGAGGGCTCTGTCCCTGCGCAGCCCTCGCGGGGCCGCTCGCCGCTCCCCAGGGCTGGATCTCGACGGGCACAGCGACGAACACTCGCTTGAATG